TTCTATATATTTTTAGTTGTCCAGCTAATTTCTTTCTGTTTTTAGTAGAGAAGGGGTCTCACTCTTGCTCAAGCTGGTCTTGAACTCCCGACCTTGAGTGATCCTCCAGCCTCGGCCTCCCAGAGTGCTAGGATTACAGGCGTGAGCCACCGCGCCTGGTCTCGCCTAGCTTCTTGATTATTAACCGCTTGCCATTCTGGAGGATCAGAGGAGGGAGGCACTGCTGTTCTGTCCATTTTACAGAAGGGAAACTGGGCTTCAAGAGGAAGAGAAACTTTATCAAGGTCACATGGGACTAGGGTGGGGCTAGGATTGGATCCAGTGTTGGTTGAGCCACCAAGCCCTGGGGCATGACTGGCCCCTCCATCCACTCAGCCCCGGGGCCAAAAGGGAGTCCTGGCCTGCCCGGCCCCACCCGGCCCCAGGCCTGCTCTCCCTGAAGCTGGCCTCTCTGCTGTGTCTGTCTCTCCATGTCTCTCTGCCCTGTCGAGGTTGATGTCCCCAGCTCTGGATCTCTGTGGCACCTGGCCTGATTCCAGTGAGGCCTTGTTGCCCAGTCTCTTTTGACAAGTCTCTCTGTCCCTTCTCATCTCTGAGTGTTCCTTTCTTCTTGTCTGTCTCCATCTGCCTCTCTCTCCGGGTTTTCTCCCCGCCTCCCTTCCCACTGCACTGTCTCTGAGAGTTCTCTTCCCTGCACCTCGAGTCTCCCTCCTCTGTATCGGTCTGTCTCTCCCTGTCCTCAGGAAGACTTGTGTGTACTTTTAAAACCCTCCTTTCGTCCCTTGCCCCTATGGCTGCGGTGGGCAGAAGGGGATTGGGTAAGAAGGGCTAGTGAGGAGGGGAAGGGGGTCGAGGGTCTGGGGCTGGGTGGTCTAGCCCAGGTGGCAGGGGGCTGAAGGGCACTTCCTGCCAGGGAAGGAAGCCCTTACCCCTCTGACCAGACTGGAAAATGTGACGTCAGAGAGGGGGCAGTAAGGGGGGAAGACAGGAACAGAAGAAATTTGACACCTCTCCTGGGTGACCTCCTTCGCTGAGTCCTTGGTATTGTCTCCTCCCACCCCCACGCCTTTTGTGCAGCTGAAAGTCCTTCCCGACTTGTCCCCTCCTAATGCAGGTTCTGATGGCTGTGTCCTGGCAGACCTTCATCCCCTTCCCACACTCAAGCCCTGGAAGGTCCCTCCTCTGGCCTGGTCCCTACCACAGCCTCCCTCCAGATCCGCAGCCCACAGTGGTGGTCTCAGTGCTCTCTGGAAAGCACGAATCTGCAGTGCCAGTCCCCTGCTTGCTGCAGCCTTCGGGGTAAAGTCTAAGCTCTTAGCCTGGCATTCAAGGTTCTGCACCTCTTTGGACAGGCAGAGGCCAGCTTGGAGCTGGGAAGAGAGAGAGGGGGAGACACCCACAGACACAGAGAGAGGAGAGACTCAGAGAGATACACTTAGGGACACTCAGAGATACAGAGATACCCACACAGAGACATACAGCAACATAAGTCAGCTGGGGTTTGGCAGAGTGAAAAAACTGGAAAACAGTCTGAGAGACTCAGAGAGTAAGAATTCCAGAAAGAAAATGAGTCTCGGAAGGGGTGAGAATGACAGTTCCTTCAGGAAGCCCTTTCTGATCCACAGGTCTGCACCCCGGGCTCCCCCAGCCCTACCCTGACTGCTCCGCGCTCTGCCTGGCGTCAGCCTTTCTGCTGCCACTGGACCATGAGCTCCCAGGGAGCAGGGCCCGGGACTGTTTCAGTCTCTGTGGTGTCACCAGCATTTGCAAGTTTGTTGAAAGCCTAGAAAGCTTTGAGCTCCAGAAGGGCGGGCCTAGAAGACCCCTTACTTGGTGCTGAGAACACAGGCTGGAGTCAGACCTGGGCCCCAGCTTGGCCTTGCCATGACTCCTCCCTTCTCTGGAATGGGCTGTGTGCACCGTGCGCTTTAGAGTTGGAGAGGAGGTAACGGGTGCACCTTAGGGGCTCCAGAACACTCATCTGCTGTCCGGGTAAACTTTCAAGGCTCCCCACAACTCTCAGGTGGGGGATGCCAACCCCAACTCTCCAGAGTGCTTTCAAGCCCAGCCAAGGATGGAAATGAACATAAATTTATTGAAACTGGTTTTGAGGCAGGTGGGTGGATAGTTGGGGGTTTTGTGAAGAGAGCTGTGGGGAGGAGCCAGCGCCCGGCCGGATGGGAGCGGGTGCCCAGCCACAGACCCTATCTCAGGCCCAGCTTCTTCTTTTCCTTCTGCTTCTTGCGGACCACGTCCAGATTCCGGTCCTTCCACATGCTCTTGCGGAGCTTGATGGGGCGTGAGCCCACATACTTCCCTGCAGAAACAGAGGGTTCTGGTCAGGCTTCGGGTCAGGCCTGCCACAGCCGCCGTCCCTCGGGGAGGCCTCACCCACCATTCATCTCACGCATGGCGCGCACGTAATCACTGGGGTCCTTGAAGCTGACGAAACCGTAGCCCTTGGTCTTGCCTGTGCGCTTGTCACGGATCACCTTAGCCTTAAGGAAGGATGGGAAGCGGCTGAAGGCGCGTGCCAAGATGTCATCGTTCACTTCATTGCCCAGATCCCCACAGAAGATCCGGAAGTCATCTGGGGATGGGAGACAGAAAGGGTCAGCGGATGCAGATTCCTGGCCAGGGCCCACTTTGTGGGAATGCGCCACTTTCTCTGGAGGCTCTGCCAAGCGCCTGGACAGATCTGTGTGCGCCTGGCACCCCCAACAACCCTTTCACACTAAGGCACAGAGAGCTCAAGTCATCTGTCCAAAGTCACCCAACCAGGAAGCAGCAAGCCTGGGACACGAGCTCAGGCATCTGCCTCCAGAGTCCTTTAACCTCTACCTGTACTGCCCTTCCCCGCCCTGGGCCATCTCACACATTCCCACGACGAAGCCCCTCACTCTGTTCCAGCCCGGCCTTTCCACGGAGCCCCTGGTACCCCTTGGTGTCCTAGACACCTTGCCATGGACATCCCTGGCCCCTAACACCTACTGGCCTCCCATCATGGCACAGGCTTCCTCTTCCTCAGCCTTGCTTCCTCTGCCAAGCCCACTCTAATTCCCCCCGGAACGCTGGACACACTGCCTGATCCTTCTCCAAAGCCGAGCTCAGCTGCCATTCTCAGCCACACCCTCTGGGTCGGGCCCACGCCCCTACTGAGCATGCTCAGTCCCAGTGAAGCCCCGTCCCCATGAGGCTCATGCTATTATTCCCTTTCTGGTAATGAGGAAAATGAAGCTTGAAAGGCTAAGTGACTTGCGCAAGGTCACAGAACTAGGGTCTCAAACCTGCACTGTCCCGTCTGGCCCTCGCTTGGGGCAGTAGAGGGTCCCAGCAGAGGAGACAGAAGTCAAGGACTGGGGTGGGAGGTGGGTCTGTTTCCTTTCTCAGATACTGCTGTGGCTGCCCATGGCTTCTGTGGTGACTAAGAACATTCTTTGAGAACACAGTGGGCCACCCCAGGAGGAAACCAGGACAAACTCAGAGGGTGGGACCTTCTACAAGACAACTGGCCTGGACACTTCAAAAAAAATATATACAAAGAGGTGTGAGGGGGATTAATTTTACTAAAAGATAATCTAGGCCAGTTGCAGTGGCTCATGCCTGTAACCCCAGCACTTTGGGAGACGGAGACTAGGGGATTGCTTGAGGCCAGGAGTTCCAGACCAGCCTGGGCAACATAGTGAGACCCCATCTCTACAAAAAGACAAAAAAATTAGCTGAGTATGGGGCATGTGCCTGCAGTCCTTGCCACTCAGGAAGTTGAGATGGCAGAATCACTTGAGCCCAGGAGTTGGAGATGACAGAGCAAGACCCTGTCTCATTAAAAAAAAAAAAAAAAATCTAGAGGCATAACATGGCATGCATTCTTGTTTGTGGCAAAAACAGCTAAAGTGGAATTTTGGGACAACTGGGGAAATCTGAATATAAACTGAACATAAGATGCCACAAAATTATAGTTAATTTTCTTAGATGTCCTAATGGCATTACGATATGAAAGAAATGTTTCTTTTCTTAGGAGTTGGATACTGAGATATTTAGGAGTGAAATAATGACTTCACTTTACGACTTGCTTCACACGACTGAAAAAACCAAAATTACCCACGTATTATACACACAGAGGAATAAACAAGCGAAATGTTAATTGCTGAATCTAGGTGGTGGATAAATGACTGTTGACTGTGCCATTCTGAGTTTAAAACTTTTCATAAGAAGTTGTGAGAAGAAAGAATACTCTTTGACCTTCAGCAAGCCAGGCCCTCATGAGTGCGATGGGCGAGAAAGCCCTAGGTACCAATCACCCCCACCAAGTTCTGGCCCAAGGCTGGGTGAGGGACCGGCCCCTCGGAGCTGTAGTCTCACCTCCATGACGTGGGCTAACAACGGTGCCTGCCCTGTGGAAAGGTGTGGAGTTTCCTGGTCCCCCTTCCCTGCCCGTAGCCCCAGGGCGGGCGGCCTGCCCTTGGCGGAGTGACGCCGACCTCGCGCTTCGGCCCGCTTACCCGCGTCCCATTCCAGCAGGCTGGGGTCCTC